AGAAAAAGCAGTGTTTCTCTCCTGGGCGGCCGGGAGCGGGAGACTCCCAGAGCGCCCGGGAGAGTTTTTTTTTTCCTTTTTTTTTGACGGCAGCAGAACCGCCGGCCAATAGAAAACTATTGGGCAGAGCTGGCTGTCATTGCTAGCTCCGCACAATCGTTTTCTATTTATTTTTTTACTTTTTTAACTATTTTTCTGTTCTGCTCAGTCCCTTTGAGGGACCGAGCAGAACAGCCGAGCCGAATGCTGAGCATGTTCGTCCGGCCCGAAGCCACGTGAAGCCACCCGATGTACGGCTGATTTCAGCCGATATACGGCTGAAATCAGCCGTACCAGCCTGAAGTGAATAGCCGAACAGCTCACTTCACTTCAGGTCGGTCTTTCACTCGGCTGCCTGCGGCAGCTTAGTGATTGGACCCCTTAGTGCGGTGTTTCGGGGTCACACAGGATCCCCTTCGTCTGCCTGATAAAGGGGATGCTGTGTGACCCCGAAACGTCACATTGAGTGTGCTATGCTACTTTTCTGCATGTACGTCAATAAATAGTCTGTAATGGCAGTCGCCAAATCTTCTCTCATGACAACTTCCTTTCAAGAAATCTGAATCTGAAATGTTTTGCTCATAGTTGTTTTCTGAGATTTCTAGTTAGCAATGACCTTTGCCATGAATGCTAAACTCGAATACAGAAAATGTACACTTTATTTTCTCATCTTAAAAAAAATACACTTTATTGCATCTTGTTTCAAGATTAAAAGTTGTAGTCAAATCATTGGCTTTCCTAAATTGCAACATGATCATGCTTAAATCTGTCCGTACATTCAAAGTACCGAACTGGTATATGAAACACATGTGGCTTTAGAAATCCTTATGAGCCCTCAAGAGCTACAAAACCTGGGCTTCTGTATTAAAGTCTTTCTTAACCCAAGAACAAAAATGAAGTTACAGTTTTGCAAATTGCAACTAATCAGTCCTCAGATGTGGTGACTGCATTCATTTTCTTTTTCAGGCTTCTTCTTAACTTTTACATGGCGACAGTAACACCCTTTCTGTCCTAGGGTCAGGACTACAGAACAACTCCCCCTCTGCTTAAGCTTACGTAACATAGGGGGACTTGTTCTGTAATCTACATAGGTTAACTCTGTTAACTCTGCTTGGGATTTCTGTGCATCAGGGGTCAAGGGATTTAAAAAGGCACAGGGTTTCTAGCAGGATCATAAGGTTTTTATTGAAACAAAATGCTTTCAATAGCATATTTAACAGACCAAATAGGAGCAAATAAGAGAAGTTCATTGTTAAGGGGTTACATACACTTTAAGCAGGGGATCATAGGGAATAAAAATACATGATTCATGTCAAGCTCCCAGGGCTGGAAGGATGGATTTCTAAAGCCAAGTGACAGCTACTCTGTTTGCCAGTATTTTATTAATTATATCAGTTTTAGTGTTAGGACTGGTTATATTTTAAAACCTGGTTATATTTTGGCTGTGTAAACAAACTGTCATCTTGTAAATATTCTTATACTTGTATATTTTTTATTTATATTAGAGTTCACCAACAGATGGAGAGGAAAGGAAGCTTTGTGAGCCAGAGAATGAAAGATCTGCGCTACTGTCAGCAATTCGAGCTCACAATGGTGACTCAAGGCTTAAAAAGGCAAGTGGAAACTTGTTATATCTGACAGCAGTATCAGACTATATTCAGAGATCCTGTAATTGATTTTTGTAACCTCTGTATAATTATCTGTAAAATTGTCTGAGTAACCATATCCCATAGAAGAAAGTAAAAACGTCCACATTTATGAAGTCTATGTAAGGAATGAAAAATTGGATTTATTTTTTTTAAGTTAACACAAAAGGTCGGTTGTAGTTTCAAGTATGTCAAAAACATTGAAATATAGCTAGATATTGCATATTAAAGCGGAACTCCAGTTTATAAGGACATGTGAAATACATGAGGGAACCTGATTTAATAAAGGAGAGGCTCACGATTTACTATAAGGTTTCATGTGCACAGGCTACAACTTAGGTTCTGTTCAAATGGGGTGATCTGGCATTCCTGCGGCAAGAACCCACAGATTCCTGCAACATTCTAAAGGGTTTGAAAATGTTCACACAAAAAAAGTAAAGATTAATTTCAATTATCCAATCATGCAGATAAAATAAACAAGAATTTGCTTTTCACATAATTGGATAATTGAAGCAAACCTTCCCTCTTTTTGTGTGAATATTGACATATTCAATATGGCAAATTGGTATATCTCCTTTAGTAAATCAGTCATGTTTTCGTGTCTATTGTTGGGTCTACTGTTTTAAATGCACTTAGCATGACAGAATAAAACCGCATCAAGTACATATAGATATTATTAAAGCCAACTGTAAAAAGTCTTAACCAATAAAAAGTCCTAAGTAAACCAACTATGGAGGGGTATTGTACTGAGCATTCTGAAATCTCTGTGCACATGCGCTGATGCTGAAGCACTAGTCAATGTATGAGATTTAATTTGCTGATGCTTGGAATAGAGGTACCAATGTTAAATACCTGTTTGTGCGCTACCTACGTGCAATTTTAATTTCTAAGGAAGCCAGTCACATTATTTTTGTAATGTTCGTTTATTGTTCAGAAAAATCTTGCCATGTGCATTCCATAGTCAACCTTCCAGGAACAGAAGGCACAAAAGTATCATCAAGTAGATGTACTGTATGCATTGAACATCAGTGTATGATCTGCTAGATAGGTTTAGGGATCACAATCACTCTGTGCATGGTAAACCTATAACATCCTAGTGGTCTTTAGTAGCCCTTGGACAGGTAGACTTATGAACTCAAATGTGATCAAGTGCAGGAGATGCTTGCAAATTCTTAGTTATCACCTTATGGCTCTTTTATCACCTGTTTTAGGATGGCACAGTGTGCTTTGTACTGATCATGGTAGGAAGTACATGATAATTTTGCTTGAGCAAGAGTATACCTAAAGCCATTTTTTTTTGAGTAAAAAAACTAGTAACCCTCTCAGATTACTACTCTCAATTGACCATTATCACGGCACCGATAGTGGAATTGATTTTTTGAAGTAGTACTTTCCTGTCCATGACACCCATGTAACAATCGTATTATCTATTCATTTTGACAGTAGGGCCATTGATTTTCCACTTACTGTAATAGTACGACAATGTTGTTCATTCCGTCTGAAATTACAATTTGTCATTTGGAACAGAAGGGAACATTTACAAAGAGACTTGCTGCAGTCGCATTTGTCTAAGGGAGAATTTCCATCTCTATGGAGATTTCCTCTTACTTCTTGTTTGTGTCTGTGGGACAGAAAGTAAATGAAAATCTTCCCCATGGCACACAGAAGGCAGAAAAAGCCTGTTAGGGGTTTTAACTCTTCACTACTCCATCGAAGGCTAAACCAGAATTATTTGGCTTGAGATATACTTTAAAGTGTATTTCTACTTGTGCAGCCAAAAGCAGCCATGGAAGACCCAGTGAAACCACTGTTGTATTTTATATTATATATTATATTATTTATATTTTATAGATATTTTTTTTTTTAATTCTATATAAGTAAATGTCTTCTTTTCCTTAAGGTATCCTCTGCTGCATCTAATGAACTACAGTCACTAAGAAAAGCAGAAAATGAATCCACAGCAACAAAGACATTATCCGTCCCTTCTTCACCAGCAATGCCTCCACCTCCACCACCTGCATTAGGTTCTGCACCCAAATCCTCTCTTTCATCGGTAATGCCTCCACCTCCACCACCTACATTAGGTTCTGCTCCCAAATCTTCTCCGGTCTTTGCAAACAACTCTGTAGATACAAGGGAAGCCTTATTGGATGCTATCCGCTCTGGCCAAGGGGCTTCAAAACTGAAAAAGGTACTGTAGCTAAAATGTTTAATTTTATTATTTTACATTTTTGTATATTTATAGTATACAACAGTTTATAATATGTTAGAAATTGTAAGTGCACATTAGCTTACCTTACACCATGCAGGAGACATTAGGGGGTCTATTCACGAAGCAGCCGAAGGACCTGCCTCTGCCTACATAACTACTATGTCCTGTAGTGATGTAGGGGCTAATGGGAGAAACCTCAACTTGCAGCGGGGGACAAAAAAATGTTTACTTTCGTAAGTGTCTGATTGTACAGATTCATCAGCTGCCAGTTTCTCTTTACCACAGTGCAGATCAGGGCATGTGCAACTAGAGAGTGAACATTAAGGTGTCTATTCACGAAGCAGCCGAAGGATCTAGCCGTAGCTTCGGCCGATCCTTCGGCTAGCTTCGGCCCCAGGACCCCTTCGGTTCAGTAGAACCGAAGGGCTTTTGTACGGGCTATTCACAATAGCCCGTACAGCTCCAGAACTTAGCCGAGCGGCTCAGTCAAGCCGAAGGCATCTGGCTTGGCTGAGCCGCGCTGAAAGCCGAAGCTGGCCGACAGCCTGCTTCTGACAGCTGGGCGGAGCCAGACGTGATCTTACGGCTGGCTCCGATCACTTGCAGAGAGATCAGCATCCCTGGTTGCCAGTTAACCAGGGACACTGATCTCCAGACATCGAACTCTCCCGGGTGCTCCGGGAGTCTCGCGCTTCCGGCCGCCCAGGAGAGAAACATTTTTGAGCATGTTCGGCCGACCCGAAGCCACGTGAAGCCACCCGATGTACGGCTGATTTCAGCCGTACAGCCGTTATACGGCTGAAATCAGCCTGAAGTGAATAGCCGAACAGCGTTCGGCTCACTTCACTTCAGGTCGGTCTTTCACTCGGCTGCCTACGACAGCTTAGTGAATAGACCCCTAGATCTTGATGTATTATTATACAGCTTAATTAAGCAAAGCTTGTGTTTGTATATATAATTCATGTTTGTTTTTTGAGGTTTAGGGTTTTTTTTTTTAAATGTCCAGATTAACTTTAATAAATTCTAATGTCGATCCCTAGCTGTAGTAAGCTTTAAATGTGTTAATATTTAAAGCAATATTAAAGTAAAATGTTTTCAAGCTATTTCAAATAACTTACAATGCCTGCTGCTCTCCTTGATGTTTAAAAAGTTAATTTTCCTGAAGAATCAGCTGGTCCCCTGAGTACTGGTTCTGTTATCCTGTTTTAGGGTGGCTCTTTTCCTTTAAAGGTTCCTATTGAGCTACCCTTGTGTGTGCAAGTAAGCTATGTGTGTCTCCAGAAACACACAGGCACAGGAAGGCAAGTCACTCCCCTGCTTCCTGACAGTTGCTGGAGACTTGCCGATGCATATGCGTTCGGCTCGACTGAGCCGCTCGGCCGACTTCGGGAGCTGTACGGGCTATAGTGAATAGAACCGAAGTTCTATTAGAAGTTCAGTAGAACCGAAGGGGTCCTGGGGCCGAAGGTAGCCGAAGGATCGGCCGAAGCTACGGCTAGATCTTTTGGCAGCTTCGTGAATAGACCCTTAAGCCGTTACTTGTGACCTTGTACTGGACAGGAAGTTTGGGAAAGGCGAGCAGAGAGAGTTGGAGCCAGCTGTTTGGAAACATGATGACTGTAAGTGCTTGGGCAAACATTTAAAGAAATACTTTACTGGATAATGTATAATTGTGTGATCTGGATGCATTATTGAAAAGCGAGTAAGCATTTATTTAATTCTACTGCAATGTTATATTAATGCTTATTTTGAAATGGGCATATGTACTGGTGTTAATGCATGACCTTACATTGAATCCACTACTACATGTGAGGTATTGATGAGTACATCTTATTAAATAAAGTATGAATTGTCAACGCTGTATACAAGAGCTATAAAGTGCCACTTAACAATAAATGTAAGGCAGATCATATGGGTTCCAGGATTCTTTTTGCCAGGCTATAATGCAGTGTAAAAGACTAGACAGAAAAGCTCCCACCCCTTATCAGAGGGACTTTCAGCCTTACACAGATCTACATTATGAATGTGCAGCCACTAGTTTTTCTTCATATGGTAATACAACTGCATTTCTTGTTTTTTAGTCCCGCATGGACATCTAATTCATAAGGCCAGAATCACTACTGGCCCAGTTTCTTGCAAGTTCAAGGTTGTACTAGATGGTGATAGTTTCTAGGGGTGTTAAAGGGGTACCAGTATGCAGTTTTACTTTATCTTTAAATTTAAAGCCATGCCATTGAAAGGCAAGCCTCTGTTCTCTTGCCTTTGTGTAAAAAAAAAAAAAAAGGGTTATTTATATTATGGTGTTGAGCTCCAGATGCCATTCTCTGTTGAAATGGCCTTTAAGGGTGGCCCAAAGCCCATCTTTTTCTGTGTAGCTATTTGTTGACATCTTCATGGGACTTACTGTTTAGTATGGCATCTTGGTTTTGATTTGTTCAGTAGCCCAAGTAACCTACAACCTGGTTTTGTTATCACAAAAGAACTGCCCAGTTTGTTTGATTTTTTTTTTTTTAAACCTCATCATTAATATTAAATAAATGATGTGAGACAGAATGTTTTAGTACTCACTATCCCTCACCTGATCCCTGGTAGGTCATTGTGAGTGCAGATCCATTTTACTCCACTTAAAAATTCTAGCTTTTTTAACTTTTTTTTTTCATCAGTTACTTTTATAATTGATGTTATATTCAGTGATCACAATTACATACCTTGCAATAATAACACAGAGTGTAGCCGTGCCCCAAGACCCCTCCTGGTTATAATCCATTGTAGCAGCAGGCCATACACTGTGGTCTGGGCATGGGTGCATTTCAAATTACACTGCTAATGAACTGTATCGCTTAATGGGGAACAGCCCCATGTCAGGCGTTCCTCTGATGTTCCAACAAGCTCACATTTTATGCAGAATAATGAATACATTATCTGCAGATCTAGAACTCAGCAACACAGTTAATACATAATGCTATAACTACTCAATAAGTTGGGACTGCTCATTGTTACAGTGTAGTAAGGTTTGTACCACTCAGTCTTTAACAGATTTGGTCACAAACTGTAGTCAAATCTAGATGTTGGCTCCCAAACCTAACCCCTGGATCATGGCTCAGAAAATAAATGTAATTCAATGACTACATAAGCTAGGGAATGTGGTAATTTTATGATTGTCAGTTTGACTTCCAAGTCACATTCATATTCTGGTAGGTTAGTTGGCTTTAGATGTGCACTTTCAACTAACTTATGGAGAAAAAAAAACTATTGGATCAGTTCAGACTATGGATGATACCAAACCCTTAAGCAAACTACTACCCTTAAGCAAACTACTATATTTACAAAGAGACAACAGGCTTTAAAGGTACCAAAGACACCACTTGTGATTCAGTTAGGTAAAAATATTGTTTATTTCTACATCATTAAAAACAGGTGTAGCAAAATCATTTTTAAAATATATAAAAGTGTCCATCCTTATACGCTGAGCATCCCTTTTGACATCCACAATGAACTACCTAGGAATAAGATACCAGCCAATTTATAGCATAAATTACTACTTAGGTTCATATGTAGTCTGTAGTAGGTTGAGGTCCAGGTATCATCACAAGGTAGCTATTCCTCTACGCGTTTCGCTCCCATTGCTGGGGCTTCTTCAGGAGGGAGGGATGGATGGATGCTCTACATCAGGGGTGCCCATTAGGTAGATCGCGATCTACCAGTAGATCGCAAAGCGAAAATTGGTAGATCCCGATCGGCTCACTGACCTGTGTGGGCGCCCCTGCTCTACATGATTAGACAAATATATATATATATATATATATATATTATCCATCTATTTTATACATAATCAACATGGTATTAGCATTGAGTATTCATTATTGGATATCACACTGTGTATATATTTCAAAGGAACATACATCATCAAAGCAAAGAAAATAAAAAAACGTCAAACACAAAGAAAATTATTTTGCCTGTATATATTGGCTATAGATCCAGAAGAAGGACAACACAGCAGTGAACTCAAAACAGACTGCACTGAAAATGAAGCTGATAATGGCCCATTCAGGAGTTAGTTTCCCCTGGAGAGCCTACAAAGCAAGATCATAAGGCTATTTATTCCCAACAATTGGATATAGTAATTGGCATGTGATTGCCACAAACGCTGACGGCCATATTTATAGAGCGACATGCGGCAGAGCTGATGGACGTGCTGGTTCTGTCTCCTGCCGTCATGTGACTATATGCATATTCATTTTTAGGTAAGTCTTTGCATGGAATATATATTTGAATATATCTTATTCGCTTTTTTCCCCCTTTTTGGGCATTTCTTTTTACTATATCCAATTGTAGGGAATGCTCAGGAATAGCTACCTTGTGGTAATAGCTGGACCGCAATCTACATAGGCTGGTATGTTATTCCTAGGTAGTTCATTGTGGATGCCAATAGGGATGCTCAGAGTATAAGGATGGACACTTTTATGTATTTTAAACATGATTTTGCTACACGTGTTTTTAATTATGTATACATAAACTAAAGTAAATATTTTTACCTAATTGAACCACAAGTCGTGTCTTTGGTATCTTTAAAGCCTGTTGTCGCTTTGTAAATTTTGTAGTTCATTTATGGAGAGTTGCTTGTTTAGAAACCTTTACTTTCTTTGGTGTTGAGCAATACCCTGTTTGAACGTACTTGTTTTCTTAGCATTATCCTTCAGCTTGCATGAACAATCAAAACATTTGTCCCTTTGAAGTAAGTCATTGGGCTCTGACAAATCATACAACTTTTACTTCCAATTGTGAATATGCAGCAATTGTTTCATCAGCTTTTACAATCCTTTTGATAATAACAGCATTTTGTTTATATCAGCCTGGCAGACATAAGAAAACACATTCATTTTTTATTGTATTATTAAAATGTATTAGAAAATGTATTATTTTATTTGTGAGTGATCTAAGACAAAATTACCTTTACCCAGATTTACCTTAACCTCCCT